TTTACAAGATTCGACTGTGAGAATCAGGCTACACCCATCGACTATTTGGGGTCAGCCCTATAGGCAACATTTTTTTTTTCTTTAGAATACACAAAATTAGTCTGCTGTGCAGCAGGGGGAACCGGAGGTGAGAGTCCAGAGGGTTGATTGGCTGAGCCGCTCCCTTGAGGGCAAAAAAGTTATTTCTTGCTGCTTGCCAACCGGATAGCAAGTGATACACTGTTACTATGGGTTTTTTACTTTTGCATTGCCAAAATGCTGGGATAGTTGTACTTTCTGATGCACTAATCGAGAAAGAGAAAAGCCTGAGCTGTGTTAGGTGAGGGATTCCCCACAAGGCAAACTACGTACCAGACGTCGCAGCAGGCGCTTTTGACGATAGAATGCGGATCGGATGCTGTAAATGGATCGGAAGTGCCGACACTTGCAGTTTGTGTTCATTCTTTCTTTTTCTTAAATTGAGAGGTGATCCAAATAAATGTAAATGCTTTTGCGGCGTCTCTACAGGGGAGTTGCGGCGTGATTCGTTGTGTTGGTTTGTTGTTTTGCCCCCAGTACCGCAAATGTCATGTGACTGAAAACTATGAATAGGCCTTGTACAACTATTTAAATGTGTTCATTATATTGTTTGTTGTAGCCTACAGTTTCCTGATTAATTTTAAAATGTAGGCTATTTGACATTTTTGATCTTTAATTAATAAGCAATTAGAGTCTATAGTCATGTCTCAATTTTGTTAGATTGACCAGTAACCAGAAACATTGTATTGATTTTATAATGGTATAAAACTAAAACGTACTCAAATCAAATAATAAATACATTCTCTCAATCAATTAATAATTCCAGCTCAAATGATCAAGGAGAAGGACAATAGAAGATAAGAGAAAAAGTAAGCACCAGTTCATGTACATACCACATATTCCCGCACAAGGTTTTCTGGATCTTCACCCATGTAGATACAGACTCCCTTAATGATACACTCTCGTCCTGGTCTACATCATCACACTGAAAGGAAACGTACTTATGTCTTCATGCAGCTCTTCTGCTTTATTTTAAGTCACTACTGCTGTAAACTGTCATAAAGTACATATTCTCTGAGAACATAACACCTTACACATTATGGTACAAGCCTTTCTGTGAGCTCTAAATCATACAGGAAGTAGATTGGCAGAAAGAGGAGGTAGAGAAAACTATGAAGATAAATAAGTAAATTAGAGGTGCTCGGATCAGGGTTTTTTGGGCCGATCACGATCACCGAAAGCAGTATCGTCATCCGTTACCGAACACCGGGTCTATTTGAAGCCTTTTATTTATCATGTAGCATTATACAGTAGGATGAAACGATTACCGTTTAACGATAAACCATGGTAAAATTCCCGCCGGTTATTATTACCAACACATTTTAATTACCATGATAACTGGGTTCGGTTACCGCACTATAAACTCACAGCAAACACTGTCCAGCATCAAAGTAAGCGACGGTCTCCCGGAAGCAGGTGCGCATGTGCAGAACGCAACGTGGATTTGTTTGGGTCAATGACAACACGGCAGAAGACAACACTGAGGAGATTTTTCAGTCACTCTGAAGTCTGGTCATAGTTTAGTTTTTATGAGAGTGCTGAGGGAAACTTGATTGAAGCAAATGAGCTTATAGTGAAGCAGGGTGAGTTAACTTTTAGCTTTGGTTTGTCTGTCTGACTTGCTAACAGCTTGTAAACTGAAGCTCTCAGTGTTGCTGCTCTTGTAAAACGCTACACGTTGTTCTGTTGCTGTGTGCGTCGGGTGTCAGCAGACTTTATTCGTCAACTGCATATGATAAACACATTACAGAGTTCAGTCAACTAACCAGCATATCTCATTCATTTTAAATCCAGTCAAATTAGTTGTAAAAGTGTCAGGAGAAACGCTGCAGACTGCTCTGTATTTATGTCATTTGTTGTCTTCTAAAGACTCACTGCATTATCTATAGAATATAAAATCTTGATAATGCACACTTAGATGGTTTTCATATGTTTAAAAAAAAAAAGGTATTGGCTGTTATTTTATTGTTTATGCAAACAAAATGTTACTTTTATTTGTAGTTTTCAATATAAATCTTATTGAAATGGTTTCGGTGTGTGTATCAGTACATTGTGATCTTTTTCAGAACATTTTTACAACAATGTGATAATACTGATAACCGTGATCATTTTGGTCACTATAATTGTGATCTGAAATTTTCATACCGTTTCATCCCTATTATACAGTATACTGTGTATTTATCATCTGTTAAGTATCATGAAATGACAACTGTTTTTTATTGCCAGGAAACATGGGCAACAAATGCCACTCCCTCTCTCTTAGAGACTTAAACCATAGCAGCCTTTGCCTGGTTACTGCAAACATTTTTTTAGCTTAACAAATATAGCTTTCCTGTGAAATAAACTACAAAAACAGAACAAACAGCATCTTTATAAATTTACTTCAACTATAAAAACTGCAACAAAAAAGGCTGTAGCCAAAATATTTAGGAGATAAAGGAGCACAGGCATCATGAGTCGATGATAAACTCTGAAACAGCTGCTTTTTGTTCTGGAAAGCTCAGGCAGGTTCTGTGGGTTTTAGGGGGTAGAGAGAGGAGTAGAGAGGGAGAGTGGGCTACAGAGAGGAGTCATAACTGTCACTATTGGGATTTGAAAATAAGGGAAATTTAACTAAATAAAAATGTTAATTCCATATTATACTGTTAGTACTTATAGTTACTATATTCATTATAATTTGGTTTACCACTAGCATAGGCCTAATATTATTTCAGTGGCTTGTTTTCATTAATTAAATCCTTGTGCAAGAAGCACAGTCTACATCTAATGTTTTACATAGGCCTACTGCCACTGGCTTTACCAGAGAGAGTAACACTTAAAATTTTATTTTATTTTATAAAGGTTAAAAATATGGGAGATTTATAGGAAAACATTTAACGGGAGGATACCGGCTGAGAACAGAAAAAAAAAAAAAAAAAAAAAAAAAAAGGAGAATCCCAGGGAAAACGGGAGAGTTGACATGACACGAGAGAGGAGTAATGTGAGGCTACATCCACACTACCACGTTTTTTAAAGACAGTTAACGATATACAATCGAATAAGATTTTTTTTACTTTTTGCTTTGCATGACTGATAAGACCGAATCAGAAAGCCAAATGTGAGTGTCTGTGTGAGTGTTTTTAAAGTCCTCTATTTTTGCCCACGGGGTCAGCACGTTTTCAAACTTCTCCGTTTTAGGTCTTCGGATTTGCCGGTTTATCTGGACTTGAGGCGGAAATGTAGCAAAAGCTCCCCGTTTAAGACAATTAAACTCTGGTAGCGGGCAGGCATGTGTGTGTGAGATGAGCACGACCGCAACAGTTTCACATGATCCTCCTGCTTGTTGCTCCGCTTGTCTGATTGCTGCTCAACTCTCATTGTAAATGATTATCTGGAGCACATCACTCGCTTCCTGTCTGAAAAGGACTTTGGTGCTAGCTAGCTTTGAAAACTGCTTAGACTGTGTAGTGAAACCATTTTAGCTGCCGTTGAAAATTTGTCTGGCAGGTATTGCATCATCTGATAGGCTTTTCTGATCTGCCTTTTTAGAGACCACCGATCAAACTAGTTAAAGCAATTATCGGCCGATAACGCTTGGTGAACGATCGATCGAAGAACCCTTAAAGTAAATAGAAGAAAGGTTAAAACTGAGACAACAAGATGCACAAATAGCAAAGGAGAAAGATGAAAAAGAAATGCACTTACAGCTTACTAGGCTTTCTGTACAATTTGAATGCCAATAAATTATGTGGCAACTAAAACATTCTACCTTTCTTCCAAATGTCTTAATGTTTTTCAAAAAGCAATCAAATTCCTAATGTTTAAGTTTTCCCATGACTGTGGGAGCCCTGTACCACTTACATCTGCCATTTGTGCAATGATTCTTTGTAGCCTTTTCCCTAGCTGTCCTCCTCTGTTTTGGAACAGCCTCATCAGGTTGTCAGAGTGGAGATCCAGCTGAGACAGGAACTTGGATTGAAGTGGGACGGTGGGGATTCTCTTGAATTCAGCGTTGATCTGAAAACGGGTAATAAGCACAAAGGAATCAGGTTCAAACGGTAGACATCCAGGAGAAAGCCACTATCACACATTCAGCAGACTAGGAGGGAGATAAAGCACAGACAAATTATATACAATCAGGTATATTAGCAGTGTACCAAGACTGTCCTTTTATCAACAGCAAATGCAAAATGAAAAACACAGCATGAAATAAGTCTTACCTCAGGGACGTCAAATAGGGCAGGCCACCTCGCCATGAAATCCTCCACCATTGGTCCATCACAAACTACTTCATGTCTTCTGTGTTCAAAAGTCTTTTCCATCTTGAGTTTCACAACCTCCCTGTTGTTCCTCTTCTTTACATCTAATAGTAGAGCTTTCTGCATGGCCTCAAGACTCTCCTCAGTTTCTGCTGTTGGGTATGTCGGGCAAAAATTCACCTCTGCTCTCTTTGCCTTTTTGACACCAAAGGCTGCACTGCATCTTCCTGCAGGTTTGTTTTTTAAAGAGTTCACTGTTACCTCTGGGCAACCCAGTTTTCTCAGGTGTGTGCGGTAGTTAGATATTTTAAACTGGTCTTCCATCCGCCACATCCACTGCAGGACCCCTTCTCAGTTAAACATGGATGTGTCTTGATAAGACTCTGGGCTACCTGTTCATCTCCTTATCACTGACATAAACTTTATACTGCACAATTTCCTCCACTAAACCATCAAGGATGGCTGACTTCAACTTGGGATCTGGAATCAGTACAGTGCCGTTTCGAATATAGGCTAAACTTGCCTGCTGAAGTTTTAATTCAGCATCATAGGAGAACTTAGGCACATGAAAAACAGCTGGCCAAGAAGACCGCGAGCTCGTCGACTCACTCGATGACAGTACATCTGTATCCACAGATTCAGCTGAGAGGGACGAAGAGTCACTTACAGAGGAAGACAAAGGGTTGAATGCTTGGGGTATTAGGACTGGAGAACCCATCTCATTATTATACGGCAAAGTTGGGGGCATTGCCATATCAATGACTCTAAGAGTACCTTTGTCTTCTGCTTCTGAAATTGAGGTAAGGTTGAGGAACTCATTTCCAAACAAGGAATCCATAAATTGAAGTCGAAAATTGCCCTGAAGTCCACACTGTTTCTTGACTTCAATCATAAGGTCATCAATGGATGCAGGGAGTCCATGGGAAAGAGTCAACCTCTGAGAGCTGCCATCAGTCAAGACGATCTTAAGGATCACAGGAGTCCCCATCTTCAAAGCTGTTTAAGGACACACAAATTAGACATCAGACATTCATACATTTTATATCTTAAATTCAGTGTTAAAAGCATACTTTTCCAATTTAAACAAATAGGAGGAAATTAACAAATAGCAAGATAACCAAAATAATACTGGGTCACAGCTCTAATTTAGGTTTATATCGCAGAGTACAGTCTAGACCTGCTCTTTTATGAGCGCTATGAGAAAACCGTTTTTATGATTTGGCACTATATAAATAAAATTTTAATACTTTTTAAAAAAAGATTAAAAAGACTATTTTAGACTGATTGTTGAATCACTTTTCCCCTGAAAAAAACCATCACTGCAGTTCAGTATAAAGGTTATTACTGTAAATCTGGTCCACATCAGAGGTCAGTGTTAGGTAGGAATATGGTGGGTTGTTAAACTAGATGATTGTATGAACTGTAATTCTAAAAGTTTCCTTTAGGTTAGACAGCTACTACAATTCTAATCATGACTTTTCCACAAAGAAATGGTGACAGGTATGTCTAAAGATTTTATGGGTTTTCCCTCTGAGTCACTAATGTGAGCTGCCTCAGTTTCCCAGCATGTCAGTATAAAAGCAGGATTAGCTTCAGTGGTAAGCTTAAGAGTCTTAATATTAGAAATGCTACCTCTGATGCAGAAGAAATTAAGTAAGACTGAACAAAATAAATTGAAAGAGGTAATGTTGAAATGACCTAATAAATTAAAATTTTAGACTTTTGAAAGACTTATGACTTAATCATTATACAATAAAATTTCAGACATTTAAGGCTAAGGAACTGCAGACACGCTGGAATAGAATTATGAAAGAGGGTAGGTTAGAACAGTTACACACACACACACACACACACACCTTGTTACTTTAAAAGTATGTGATAAAGGCAGGCAAAAGGTAAGAAGATGGTGCTGCACCATCCTCTAACCAAATTTAATAAAGTAGACAAAGCAAATTGTCCTGTCCCCCCCAGTTGCTAGCGCACCTTTGATTTCAATATGCCTTTTCAAAGTCACCATGCGGGTTGCTCCAATCTTGTAGTCAACAAGCGGACAAGTATCAAGGAGTTCACTGAGTGCCATGACAGTGAATGTTCTTGTGGGTGCTTGGCTGAGTTCAAAGGCTCTATAATGCTCTCTGTACCAACCACATAGCTCTTTGACAATACAGAATATACTCTCATGTAAAATGCAGATTTGGTCAATTTCACTGAATTCAGGCATTCCACCCACTGCTCTGTGGGCCAGTATCATTCCCTTCCTATATGTTATACCCTTGGTTGTCACACACTGTGCAAGGTGAACCTCAGGTGTGTCAGAGAACTTTTTCCTGATGACTTGGGCTATCTCCTCTTTGAGTAAGTCTACTGGTAGAGTGGATATAGCAGAGACCTCTAGGTCAGACTTGCTCAGAAACGGAGCGCTCAGATGGTATGCAATCATCATCTGATGCTTTGAGGCTAATGAGAGTGGCACATTCTTGAAGCAGCTTGTGTGTCTGATAACCTGCTTAAAAAAGCTATGCTTAGCCTCAAAGCGCATTGTCCACTGCCCAACAATTGGACCAAACAGCCTAATCATCTGGGGGTAGTGCTCCAAATAATGGTGTTTTGGAAGCAGCTTGATGTCAGGGAACAATTCTTTGTATCTCTGCCTGTGCTCAGTGATTTTACTTTCCAAAAAAGCCAGCGAGTCATCACTATGCACAGGGGCAACAATAAGCTCTGTAATGTCCTTCAGATCCATGAGAACAAGCCACGCAGGCTCATCTTCAGGTACAAGGGATCCAACCAAAAAAGGTAGGAAGCGGAGCAAGCTCCAGTTTTCATGAGCATTTCCCCCCACCGATTTTGAGCTGGAAAAACTTTGTGACACTACATGAGGTTTGTTTGTCTTGTCAGCCCATTTGTAGGGAAACTTCAGAATGGCATTGTTTAGGTCTGCTAACGTGAAAAGCTTTCTTGATATAAGCACTGTTAAGCAATGAGCTAGCTCTACTGGGATTATACCCTCAAAAACATCATGGGCAAGATCAGGTGGGGAGCCAAAGATGCCATTAAAATGAGACAGATTTTTTGTAAAGACGCATTCCTTTTTCACTCCACAAAAACCTGTACCTGTGTCTTGGGCTTGTCTGACATGGGCCTGATGAAGCTCCTTTGTTCTCAGACTGAAAGCACCAGATGCAACAGAATGTAGCTGAATATCAGTACTCTTTCCTGTGCAAAATCTGCAACAGTATTCCACCGAAAAACTCTGCATAAATCCTGCAACGCTGTGTGCTCCCAGGTTGTCTGCCACTACACTGAGAACTGTACCTTTAACTGACTCACCTAACAACGGGACATAAACACCCAGCTCCTCCAGAGTTTTCAGATCTTTTGGAAGAGGTTCAAAGATTTGATCATAACCGTAGGTTTTAACATCATCGGTTTTGCACAAAACTGACAGATAGATGACAATGATGAATGAGATCCCGGAGGCAAGTTAGCCAATACCCAATAAACAGCACAAAGCTTGTGTTTCTTTCGCGAGGTGCCAAGCGGGTTGCAGGTTTCAAAATCATCCACATAAAAAGTTAGGATGATCCTTGGCTTTTCTCCTGTGAGGAAACTATTTTCCCTAAATAGGGAACCATCTGTTGCTGACTTGAACTGATATGACACTCCAGAACATGTGCTCTCCTGTTTTTGATGGCCCTCGACAACTTCATCAATGATATCCTTTCTACACAACAGCTGTTGTAAGGACTTCAATATCGGTACATATTGGAAACTGCGTTTGTTTTTAGCATCAAGAATATATTCCACTGGCTCTACAACACTGAAGTTCTCCTTATAATACTTCTTACGCTGATATGCGGTACTGAGAGGGCCACCTTTTTGTATTGACCTTTGCACAGGATTACCAGAACAAATTGCATTAACAGTTTCTCTAATTATATGTTCATCGACAGGGAGGTTTCTCTGATGAAAGATCTCACTCACAATGTCACAAGATAATGGAACAGGTGCAGAAAAAGTCAAATGATAGAGTTCTCCTAAAACACATCAACAGCTGTGCTGGGCACATGGTCCAAATGCTCCAACTTCAGCAAAGCAGCTGCAAATCTTTGCTCTATGATCTTCTGCAAGTCCTCAGTTTGAGAGGGACTGTTTGAAGGAATGACCACATTTGACTGTTCGACGAACTCCTGAGTATTTTCCACCAATTCATTCACAGATGATATCCTGGTACGTATAACTACTCCAGGTTTAAAAATCAACCAAACTGTGAAGGCAGTGCTTTTGGTTTTTGTGTGATTTAAATGTGCAATAAATGTTTGTTTTAAAGTCGCAACCTAAAAACATACAAATGACAGTCTCATTTCTTTTGAAATGTGCATTTATATGAGCAAAATAATCCCTCTCTGATGCTAAATCACTACAAGCACAGAGTTGGCAATTGAATATTGCTTCCTCTTTGCAAGTGACCCCTGCGGAGTGAATTTTACTTTGGTGGACTATAAGGGCATTCCATGTCTTAAATGTGCATCGACAGTGCAGGTATGTACATGGAAAGCGAGAACTACGTCCAAAATGTGGATGCTTTAACTTGTAGTGATGCAAAAGATTGGACCTACTTGACACCGTTTCTGTGCAACCCTTACAACTCCACATTCCCACCACCTAGCCCTGTAACATACATCAAGATCGTCATTAGTCACATCATTAAAGCTCCAATCTGAAATTCATATATAATCAAAAAGGTCCACTGCACTACCAAAATTCAAAACACACGATGAAAATTTGCTATTACTTACAAATTGATTCATAGGCCTTTAAATACAAGGACTTTACTGTTTTTAATATTGTTCAAGACTTGTTCGTAAAGTGAATTATTGTGCAAAAAAGTGAAGTTTAAATTTTTCACAATAATCAACTGACAAAACATAATTGATACTTTCCATCTTTAACTGAAGCTCTACAGTTATTTTTGGAAATGTACTTCTAAGTCACAAAATCCAGATTTGGGGCTTTAACAGCCACACAAAATAAAATATAAATGACATCACTTACCACTATAAAGCCTTTGAGTATGCATTCTCTGCAAATAAAATGAAAGACCTATAAAAATATGTATAATCAGTGAGGTGAACACAAAAAACAAATATAACAAAAGTCAGAGCAAGATGCAACAGATATTAACTTTTAACGTTAAGTATTTTCTGTAATACAGTGCAATTTTGGAAACAATAGCAAGCTGAAAATAATTAAATAACTGTTAACTTAACGATTTATGGACGGCTTTTCAGTGTGTTTAAGTTTAACAACAAAAAGAGTGGATCAGGAAACTGAAATGATAACTTAACGTTACACACAATAAATACACATTGCACACCAGCCGGGAGAGTAAAGACTAGACTATATTGTCTATTCAGAACACTAAGTTAATTTAAGGCAATGTTAAATTACCTCTGATGAAACAGAAGTAAATATGATGCCGTCGCCTGCTTCCACCCTCAGGAGCGGATGAGCGAAGCTCGGAAATCCCCGCCAGCGACCAGCTAACGGCTGTCGGGACATTAAAGAACTGTTGTCAGCAGCGGTACCATCGGGGAAAAACCCTCGCTGACCACCTACGGTACCGCTGCTGACAACAGTTCAGGATTTCCCCGGGGTTAGGGCTTAACGCAACTTAAATAAAAGTCAAACTAAACTAGCTAGCGTTGGTTTAGCTAGCTAACGTTAGCTAAAAACAACTTCATTTACACAAACAAGTGACAGACTATTTGGGTATTACATACTACTGTACGAAAACAGAATCTAACGTTGGTGGAAATGTTGTCTACTTTAACACATAAATCAATTTGACAGACTTACCTTTTCAGTAATTTGAGGTCTTGGGAGGACATGTAGCTGCAGAGCTGCCGCTTCTTCCCAGGCTTGGCATCTTGGTATCCGATCTTCTTCTTCTTCTTCTTCTACTGGCTTTCCGGCAGACTAGATGCCTTACGGCATATTGCTGCCACCCACAGTTCAGTCTCGGTATCGCTTTATAGCACCTTCATTCTCAGAGGGCTAATCCTGTTGCAGATATAAAATCCATGACTGCTTCCACTATCCTTGATTGGTTCTCATGAGGATTCAAAATATCTCTCAATGACACTGCTTGTAGTCCATCTCCTGATACCTCAGAATACAGTTGTTCTCTTTGCCTTTTATACTGTTGACATTCCATAAACACATGATTAACAGTCTGTTGTTGATTGCAGGTTCTACAGAGCCCATCCTCATGTTTGCCTATCTTCGCTAGATCCCATGCAAATCCACAGTGTCCCAGCCTTAGTCTTGTCATAATTACAGCTTGTCTTCTGGATTTACCCAAGCAACTCTGCTCTGTCTTTACTTTGTTTTGTATTGCATAATAATGCCGGCCCTTTGTTTCCTTTTCCCACTGCCTCTGCCATACTACTATAGTGTTTTCCTTAATGACAGATCTACATTCAGTGACCCCAATACAAACTGCTAAATCAATATCTCTTTTCAGAGTCATTTTTGCTACCTTGTCTGCCACCTCATTCCCTTCTACCCCAACATGTGCAGGGACCCAGAGAAATCCCACTGACCCTCCAGCCTTTTCGATTTTATACAACAGAACCATCAGCTCCATAAACAGATCTGGCCGAGCTCCCATATTACTTCCTCCCAGAGTTTTTAACACTGAAGCCGAATCTGAGCATATTACTGCTCTCCTTGGTTGCACTTCCTCTATCCACTTTAGTGCCCATATAATAGCTAGAAGTTCTGTTGTATACACCGATACCCCCTCAGACAGTCGTTTAAGCTTTACATATTCATATTGTGGGATATAAAAAGCAAAGCCTGACTTCCCAGTTTGTGGATCTTGGGATCCATCTGTATATATCTGAAGATAAGTTCCCCACTGATTTTCCAGTCTTCGCTTTACCATATTGGGATACTCTGTGCCTTCATGATGTTTGATGTTATCCATTATACTAAGATCTATTTCTGGTATGGACATCAACCACGGTGGTACAACTGACCAGTACACTTGCGGGGCCACCCTTCCTCCTTCAGTCCCAGTTCCTCAATTTTTTTCTGATGTTAAACATAAAACATTCCTTCCTCCTTTTCCCTGATCCCCACTCCCACGCATTACTTAGAACTATTTTTGTAGGGTGTTCTCCTTTATGTGCCCATAATTTAACAATATACTGCATTGCCAATTTCTCCCGTCTAATTGACAATGGCATTTCCCCCATCTCTACCAACAAAGCTGGGACTGGAGTTGTACGGAGGGCCCCGCAACATAGTCTCAGTGCCTTAGCTTGTATTACTTCCAGCCTCTTTAAATGTGTATCAGCGGCTGTCCCATAACACACACATCCATAATCCAGCCTAGATCTTATCATTGCCCTGTAGATCATTAGTTGAGTATCTCTGCCTGCACCCCATGTGCTACCTGAGAGGGAACGCATTACATTTATTACCTTTTCACACTTATTTACAACATTATCTATCTGCTTTTTCCATGTTAGCTTCTCATCCAAATGCACACCCAAAAATTTGAACTCTTTAACCCTCTCAATTGCTTGTTCATACAAAAATAAACCACCACATTCATTTTTCTTATTACCAAATATTATATACTTTGATTTCTCCACTGATATCCTCAACCCCCACTTTTCACCCCAACTAGTTACTTTGTTCAGAGCTACTTGCATTTGCTCAGTTATTTGTTTGACATTCCTGCCCCTTTTCCAGATGGCCCCATCATCTGCAAAAAGAGATTTTCCAAAACTATTCCCAATTTCTTCAAATATATCATTTATCATAATATTGAAAAGGACTGGGCTTATCACGCTACCCTGAGGAGTTCCGTTATCGATACCTGTACCAGCTGATAAAGCATTTGCAACCCTAACTTGAATTCTCCTGTCCTTCAAGAAGTCTTGTATCCAGTTAATCATCCTCCCTCTGACTCCAGCCTCATATAGTTTTATGACAAGCCCCTCCTTCCATAGCATGTCATACGCCTTTTCAATATCAATAAACACCGCCATTAATACTTCTCTATTCACCATTGCTTTCTTTATATCACTGTCAAGGGACGTAACGGCATCCATGGTACTTCTCCCTCTACGGAATCCACTTTGTACTGATGTAAACCATCCCTTCTTCTCTAACTTATAAACCAATCTGTCTGTAACCATCCTTTCCATTATTTTACATAGGACTGATGTCAGTGCAATGGGCCTGTATGATCCTGCCTTATAAGCGTCTTTCCCTGGTTTCAATATTGGAACCACCAGTGCATGCTTCCATGTGCTAGGTAGACTTCCCTCTTGCCATATGTGATTCATTAAGGCCAAGATTTCCTCCAAAACTTTGTCACTAAGATTCTTAACAATCTCATAGCTAACACCATCCTTTCCCGGGGCTGTTTTCCTTCCTTTTCCAATTGCCCTGTGCAATTCTTCTAATGAGAAAAATAAATTACCCACATCAGAATTATCATTATTTATCTCAAGTTTGTATCGATTTTGCTCTAATATCTCATTTCTTTTCCTTATACCTGCTTCACCAATGTTAGCTCCACTGTGAACAGCTCTAAAGCTATTTTCACATAGCTTTGCTTTATCCAAATCACTTGTAGCAAACAATCCTCCCTCCTCTAAAACTGGCATTTTCCTTTTCCTATTACTTCCTGCCATACGATGTACTGCCCGCCATATTTCTGTTACTGCAGTCTCTGCCCCTAGTTTTCCACAGTATTTTCTCCAGCACTCTTTTTTTGCAGTCTTAATCACTCTGCGTGCTTTGGCTCGCAGTCTTTTATATTCTACTGCTTTATCTTCTGTTGGATGTTTCCTCAATGCTCTATACCCACAATTCTCACAAGTCTCTTACTGCTTTATCACAGTCCTTGTTCCACCATGGCACACTAATTTTCCTTTTAGAACACTTCTTTATCGGGATAGATTCAATTGCACTTTTCATAATTATTTCACATAAGCTGCTATTCCATTCCTCTATTGTCCCTTCCTCATTTACTTCCTCTATAGTTTTGTTACACTTTTCAGAAAAAATGCCCAATCTGCCTTACTATAATTAAATAAGTTTTGGTTACCCTGTTCTTCACTCAATAAAGTTTTCCCAAACCTCAATAATATTGGGTAATGATCACTCCCTATTGTATATCTGTCCAAAGAATCCCACTCTCCAACCCTAGCTAGTTCACTGGATGCTAATGCCAAATCTATATATGAAACATTTCCTGTTCTAATATCAAATCTAGTTGGCCTGCCATCATTTAAACAAACTAATCTCCACCTGTCCATAAATTCCTCTATAGTGCTCCCATTATTATCTTTTATTCTGCTACCCCAAAGAGGGTTGTGAGAGTTAAAATCCCCCACCCAAATGACCGGTGTCCCTACTTGTTCCATAACCCACTCCAACTCGCTTAGATTTATTTGCAAACAAGGATTATACATGTTTATTATGTTAATCCACCTGTGCTGTCCCCAAACTCTTACTATAACACATTCTAGTTTAGACATTATCTCTACATTTTGATACTGTACATCTGATCTTATAAATGTTGCGCACCCTCCCCCAGACTTTCCTTTTCTATCATATCTGTTACTTTCATATCCAGGAATCACAAAATCTAAGCATGGTTTAAGCCAAGTTTCCTGAATACATATCACCTCTGGTAGATCCTTAAATTCATCAACAAATCTCTAAAGTTCCTGTCCATTAGCCATCAAACTCCGTGCATTCCATTGTAAGATGTAAAACATCAGCAATTTAACTATCATCATTTATGTCCATGTTTCTTCCCCAGTACATTCCTCATTACTGTCAGTGATCTTTTGTTTTCCCCTACCTCTTTCATAAACTTCCAGTTTCTGTCTCATATACTTGTGCAACTCTTCAGGACCCATACATGCCTCTTCCAGAAATCTCTCTGCAGCATCCACCACCACTTTAATAACGTCAGATCTTCTGGTTTGGTCTCTAACTGCCCACAGAACATCTACCATGAATGCCAGGAATGACTGGGTTCCCACAATCTGCCTCACTTTCTCCCTATCAGGCTGGGAATCAGAAGGTACTTCAACTACCACTTGTCTGGAAGGTTCCCCCGTTCCCCTCACTTTCTTCAGGGCATCTGCATATGAGATTTTGCCTTCAACTCTCAATTTCTCTACTCCCACAGCTCTAACATGATGCTCACACCCCCTAAATGAAGATACATGATTTCCGCCACAGTTACAGCACTTGACTATATCAGCTTTACATTGAATAAAGTCATGGCTTCCTCCACACTTCCCACATCTTTTTTTCCCTCCGCATGCTGCTGCTTCATGGCCATAGCGTTGACAATTGTAACAACGCAGTGGGGGACGAATATACTGTCTCACTGGCAAGCTAATATATCCAAGGCTGACCCTTGCTGGCACAATATCTTGCTTGAATGTTAATAGCACAGCAGTACCGGTTTCTTTGAATCTCCGTACAGCTACAACCTCAGCTCCCTTTAAATTCTTCAAGATGTCACTCTCTTCTATCTCAAGGCTTACATAGATCACTCCCTTAGCATTTTTAGCCTGACCAGGAATAAAACATTCAACAGGCCTGTTAAGCAAATGCCGAACTTTAAGGGCATTCAACCTCTGATTATCATTTCTGCAAAAAACAAGTATATTCCCATTCATCATCATTTTAACATTTAGAACTTTTCCCATTTTGTTTTTTAGCTCCTCCGATAGTCTGAGTGGGTTTAAGGCTTTGTCACTTTTATCTTTGAATTTAACTATCATCCTAAATCCACCCTCCTCTTCAGATCTTGGCATTTTCCTTGTGCTTTGGGACTCGTCACTCTCACTTCCACTTCCATTGTCAGATCTATCTCTTTTTTCAGATTGTCTGGACTTTTTGTCATTACTCCCAGCACCATCACTAGTTTTCCCCTTCGGCGGCATAGCCCATCCCTCGTTGGGGAGCTGCCTGCTGCTTCAGCTCACAAAACAAACTCTCACAGGAGATGCCAATTGAGATATCAAATACTTGTCCCTTGTAAGATTAATGAGTCACAAAGTAATTTGAATCGCCCTCCAAACCGTACAACTCCTCCTAGCCGTGAATCATCCAGTCTACTCCTTTCCTCGTTGGCCCACCACAAATAATCTCACTGGCTGAACTGAACTTTGGTAGACAGCCAATCTCTAAAAAGGGGATTCTCTGGCCCCGCCCACTGAAGTCCAACTCAACCAATGAGATTCTTTGCGTCTCCAGAGCAGAAATGTTTGAGGAACTAAAAGCACAATCAGCTTGATGTTGAGGAGAAGGGCTGTGCAGCAGAGAGGCTGTTTAGTTTCTTCATTCTACTGCAGTGGAAGAACATTGCTCATCTGCTGTCTGTCTGGCTTTAACAACTCCAAAGACATGTTGCTTTACCTCTTTTTACTTTGCTCTCACTTCATAGGTGAGTGTTGGAGTGTTTGTGTCCACAGAGTAACACTGTACAGCTGCCATTTTCCACTGTCTTCTCCTCTCAGCCTCATGAACAATGTTAGTCTAATGGCTTCATTTGCTCTACTTTTTCCAGGACTAATAGCTGGAGACACAATCTCTCCTGAACGAGAGGAAGTCAGTGGAAGAGAAGGACAATCTGTCACACTCACATGTAACTATCAGACAACTGACACCTATATTCTCCTTTACTGGTACAAACATCATTCTGACCTTCAGGCACCTCAGTTTATACTCTTGAAAGGAGCAAAATCATTGAGTAATCAGAAGTATATTCCTAATGAACGATATGGATCTGAAACATCAGCAACATCAACTACACTGACCATCAGAGATCTAACCCTGGCAGACACAGCTCTCTACTACTGTGCTCTAGAAACACAGTGATACAAAGTGTAGAAGAGGCTGTACAAAAACCTGAACCCAGATATCTGACTACTCTTCAAAGAGGAGGGAAGTGGTATTCAAACCACAGCTTCATATCAGATGGATTCTGCTAATTCCTGTTTTATCA